GGCGTGTTAGAATGAGCCGTTTTAGGGGGGCGTGGCAGAGTCTTAACTTTGATAAAGAATATCTCTTTGGTTTTGAGACTTTAGTCTTTGCAACTTCAGGGATCTTATCTATGCACAATCAGCTTGTAACACTCCAAAGAGAAAGGAAAACTTGAAAGCGCATCATATGACCCCTTTAAAAAAATGCTGTGTTGTTAGATAAGTTATTTTATTCTCACTAAAAGCAACTATTTGACATTTCATATAGTTTTATTATTCTACAGTGTTTTACATTTACATGGACACAATAAGAAGGACACACAGTCCCAAAGTATGACGGCACACTGCATGTGCAGATTTCCCTTACTGAATTATGATTGCCTAACATTCACCAGAAGTTGCACAGCACAGAGCAGGATGACAAAACAACTTCCACTCTCTCAGTCCATCTGTCAGAACACTGTTAGTCCTCAGACTGAACGGTCTTCTGGCGGGTGATGATCTTGCAGGCCCGCTGTCTCAAACAGCTGTCTGAAGTCAGGCGCCGGGCAGTTTCTCTCAACTCTTCAAGACTGCTGGAGGAGGCACCGCGAGAGGAGGCAAATGATTGAGAGTGCTTCACTGCACACAGGACAAGAGAAGGTAAAGTCAATTTATTGAGAGTAAATTTAACCAAAAATGAAAGCCTTTTGGGCCACTCCACAAAATATGTGGCATTCGTGTCTATCATATTATATTTGTAAAAACAACGAAACAACAATGAATAGCTGATGCCAACTGTTACTTCATTTTAAACACATCAACAAAAATTAAATAAATTTATTGTAATAATAGTTTAATATTTAGTTTTCTTTCATTATAGTATAACTATATGCTTATCAAGGCTGCATTTGTTTGATCAAAAATACAGTAAAACAGTAGCTAATAGTATTTAAAAAATAAATAAATAAAAATAAAAGTTATTTTAACTACAATAAATTGTTTTATTTTAATATATTTGAAAAAATGTATATATATATATATATATATATAATAAATAATATAATAAATAAATAAACTCCCAAAACAATCAACTATCACTACAAAAAGTGCTGTTTCTGGTAATAGTATGATACATTCCTCAGAGCACCAGCATAAATGCACAGGTCAGCTGAATATGAAATTACCACTAATGGTAATATTTAGGTTATAATTTCATCATGCGTGCACCTACACGAACACTTACACCAGTGCTGTCTGGACCACTGCCAGTTTACCCAATTGTATTTCATCACCCCGGGTTGCCAGTTCGCGGAAAACAGAGCGTATCTCATTTCATTCATGGTCAAGTGCGCTCCTTCCTGTTGGTGTGGTCAATCTGGCAACCTCCGTGTGCGTCAAGTCAAGGAGGAGGGGCCAGGTGAAAAAAACCCTCTCCAATATTTTGAATTTGGACTGCAATACCTAGTTCAACCACTCGGAGTCAATCCTACATACTGCACCTTTAAGGATAACTTATAAGCCTTTGAAAGAGTTATGGAGTCAGTCTCCATACACTCTCAAACTACGTAAACATTTGTATATATGTATATTTTGCAATAAATATAACATATATTGTTTATATTTAATCCACCATTCTTTAAATCTTTAAATCCATCATTGTTAATTCGATTATGTAATTTGCAATGCTTCATGGGATTGTAGTTCTTTCCCTCATTAAAGCTGTTGTTCAGGCCTATAGCCTTCTAGTCTTTTTGTCTGATTTTCAAATACTTTTTTGCTTCAAATCAAAGTAAATAAATAAACTCCCAAAACAATCAACTATCACTACAAAAAGTGCTGTTTCTGGTAATAGTATGATACATTCCTCAGAGCACCAGCATAAATGCACAGGTCAGCTGAATATGAAATTACCACTAATGGTAATATTTAGGTTATAATTTCATCATGCGTGTTTTGTCTGATTTTCAAATACTTTTTTGCTTCAAATCAAAGTTTGCAATGTTGTGATTCACCTCATGGCCGGTTGGTTTGGTTCATGGCTTATAACTGTTTAACAAAGACTTAAAAGAAAAAAAATCCCTATGGGAAAAATGAGAAAAAAAAAACATTTCTGAACCAAGGTAAAATAAAATAAAATAAAATAAAAAAGCGAGCTGGCACTGTTTTCTCTATTGAGTGTAAAAATCTAAAATCCTTTAAAGGGGTCATATGATGCTTTTTTAAAGATCATTATTTTGTGTATTTGGTGTAACAGAAATGCACAGGTCAGCTGAATATGAAATTACCACTAATGGTAATATTTAGGTTATAATTTCATCATGCGTGCACCTACACGAACACTTACACCAGTGCTGTCTGGAGGCCCGTCTCTGGATACGGCAACTTTTGATGCGTCGAGCAGCAGCTTTATGCAGATACACTGCGTTCTTCATGATGGACGGTAACTTGGCCTCAATCTCCGCCGCACAGATACATTCCTCAAAGAACTCTGGAGGTACAATGCACAACATCAAGTTTGGATGCAATTTAGTCAACTTTAAAGGGATAGTTCACCCAAAAATGAAAATTCTGTCATCATTTACTCACCCTCATGTCGTTCCAAACCTGTATGAGTTGCTTTCTTATGTTGAACATAAAAGAAGATATTTTGAAGATTGCTGGTAATCAAACAGTTGGTGGTTGCCATTGACTTCCATAGTAGGAAAAAAAAATACTGTATTTTGGTCAAGATATTTGAACATCATAACATAATTTAGATAACTGGATTTAAAGGGCTTACAAAATTGAAAACTGTCTCACCAGTGCAAAAAGAGTGCTTATTGAAACCATAAAGCAAAAACATGCAGCTGTAGTCTGTGTGGTTGTGAAGCTGGTTCATTGTCTTATCAGTCAATGCTTAAACCCCCTTATTTGTAAGGATATTATTACAACATACTTTATGACGTGCATTCTGGGAGGCTTTTTAATGGCACTGAATGAGTTCCTAGGCATGCTGGGATGTTGGCTGCCTTTCCTTTAGCATTCGTTCCAATTAAGAAAAAATAAATGAATAAATTAAAATGCTAATTTTGTAAAGTCAAATGCATCCAAACCAGGTTTGCCAACAGCGATGCAAATTAGTACTTCATTTCCTTTTCCCTGAGGACCAACTTGACGTGGAAAAACATAGTATTTAGTTTGCATTTATACGGTAATGTCCATTTATTTTAGGCATACAGTGTTGAATACTTCTTAGGTTTGCCTGAGAATGAAATGCAACATTAAAGGGATAGTTCACCCAAAAATGAAATTCATGTCATAATTTAACTCACCTTCAAGTTGTTGGTTTCAAACCTGATTATTTCTTCTGCTGAACACAAAAGAAGATATTTGGTTCCCAAACTGTTGCTGGTAGCCATTCACTTTTTTCATACTATGGAAGTCAATGGCTACCACCAACTATTTGGTTGCCAACATTCTTCAAAGTATATATCTTATTTTATGTTCAGCAGAAGAAAGAAACTTAGACAGGTTTGGAACAACATGAGGGTGAGTAAATGATGAAAGGATTTTCATCTTTGGGCTAACTGTCCCTTTAAGTAACAATAAATATTGTTAATTTAGCATTTTCAAAGTTAAAAATTTTTTTTTTAGATTTTTTTTTAACGAAACCTGAAACTATGATCGACACACATACACACATTCAATCAACATACGGTAAACACAGAAACTATTTCTTCACAAAACTTAAATTAAAACGCCCCATTCATATGGATTTGTTTTTTGACGCTTTTATAACCTTTTTGGATCTTCTAAGTTTTGATTACCTGGACAGAAACCTCTCAGGTTTCATTAAAAAAAATCTTAATTTTTGGGTGAACCAACTCTTCAATATTAACATGATAGCAAAAATCGTCTTCTCAATAGTAGGACATGGCTAATGGAATGCACTTACTGCGGAGATGGCTGACGTCTCCTTTCATTCTTTCATCCCTCTCATGGGTGCGTTCTATTGCATTTAGACCCTGCTCTAGATCTTGCAGAGCCTCTTCAGCCAATTTCAGCCTACGCTCCAGTTCCACACGAGACTCCATCTCTGCCTGTTACACGCACATACACACACACACACACACACACACACACACACACACACACACACACACACACACACACACACACACAACATATAATGTATATTATGAAGACAGAGTATAAGGGAGATTCATTTTAGAAGTGAGGTATGAAGGAGAAGACAGGCATGGGCTTTTATAGAATTTCAATAGATTTTTATATCAGTGAGAAGTGATAGTAGATGTGCAGATGCAGAAGAGGTAGTGCGATATATATGTAACCTAATAACACTGTAAGTTAGATCCAAAGCAAAAATATCATAGCACCCTGAAAAGAATAATTTTTGCAATGTTCCACAACCAGATTTACAGAAAGTCTTTTTTCCCCCCTTCTCAGTAGTTTTCACCTTCAGCTCTTCCTCGGTGTGCTGTTTGTCTGCTGTGAGCTGTGTGAGCGACTGCTGGAGAGCTTGAGCTTGAGA